GAGAGAGAGAGAGAGAGAGAGAGAGAGAGAGAGAGAGAGAGAGAGATTTCCGTCGCTCGCATAAATATCTCGAAGAAAATATTCTTGGCCTTTTACCGCACGAACGTTCATCGCGCCAATCGAGCGGTCAATCTATTTCTATTTGAAAAGAAGCGCGTATTCTCTCTTCTCTCCGATGGATAATAATACGTGAGATTAGAATATGCGGCGATAATTGATGCGAAAGATATTGGAGGAATCCCCCTTATCATTATTTTATAATTTTATTATTTAGGAATTTTCGCTTAGGTACTCGTCAGATGCTTGTCAATGAGAAATATATATCGCACGGAAAATATAACGCGGAATCCTTTCTTCAATAGAAAATATCAAAATTTTTTCTATGAACGTCATCCGTCATCCACCATAATCGTTCCATAATTTCTCTCCTCGATAATGGCTGGGACTGTCATGAGTCATCATGAGTCACGCCGTTCAGTGACACCTGTACTGTTATATTTACATTTGCCAAGGCATACGTTACTTAAAACGAGTAAAAAATTAAATACACAGAATTATCGTCTAAAGCCTAAAGTTACATGTTTTCCATTCGCATTCTTTATCCCTTATGCTATGTCATTTCGCGCGCGCGTATCACATAATTCATCACCTAATTCTAATTTATTGCCTTTGCTAACAATAAGCATACCTATAGGAGGAGAAACTGAAATTGACACGCGACACGCGGGTTCGAGCGAACTCAAGTTTGCCGTACCTAATCTATGACACACGTAATCCAACGTTAAACTTGGAACGCGAAAACCTCCGTCTCCGCGTTAATCGACTGCCAGGATTCACCTATAGACTATGATCGTTACATTTAAGCGCATTTAAAGAATCTTCCAGAGATTATTGAAATAAATCTTCATCACAATTTATTTCGATAATCGGAGAAGCAGGTAAGGGGAAGAGAACGCGAGATCGCGCGGCTCTAGAGAGCTAGTCAAGCGGACGGATTTATCGTGGCAGGGCGTGGTTACGCCGGACAACGCGACGTTCCTGCGTGGACAGCGACCGACGGGGGTGACGGGTGACGGGCCGCGGGCGACGGGCGACGGCACCGACGCATGGCGCCGCGCCGTGCGCGCCAGCGCGGTAACTCGGCGACGCCGACGGCGCGACGTGGGCATGCCGGTCATGCCGTCGCGCCGTGGTCGACCGCGACGTAATTCGGTAAAACGCGGCTTCTCTGGCTTCTGTGACCGAGAAGCGATGATCGGAAAGCCATCGCCCGCGCCGCGCGCCGTCGCAACGGTATACTCGGCTAACTCGGCGCGAGGCGGAGAAATTCGTAGCGCAGCAACGTTCAGAGCGTTCGCTGACATCCCGACGCGACGTCTCTCACGTCTCGCGCGTCGAATCATCAGGGGGGAGAGAGGAAAAAAAGAAGGCGAGGAAGGTGTACTGACCTCGATGTCTAGCTTCCCCTTGGACGCCATTTTGACAACAAGCCGGTGGCGCTCGGGCTGTCCGACCTGACGTTACTCCGGAGTCCGGCTACCTGCTGCGCGCGTCGCGGCGCGTGTTACGACTCACGGTCGACGTCCCCGATGTCTTCTGTCTTATAGGTCTTCTGCGCGACACACACACCTAGAGCACAAACCCGTATAATCCCTCCGTCCGTGGCACACGCGCGAACCGATCGCGATCGCGCGCGACTCAAACTCAACAGCTCGACAGTCGAGCGTCGACACTCAATTCGCGTTCGCTACCCGAAGACCCGAACGCCGAACGCCGTGGTCACTCCGCTGACTCCGCTCCGCTACGCGCTAGTCCGCTCCGAGCTCCGACGCAAACGCCCGTCGCCGCGAGAGAGACAGAGCGATCCTGGCCGCTCGATAAGAGGGGGGGCGCCGTGACGTCACGGCACCACAACCACACGGCACACGGCGACACGGCACTCACGGCGCGACGCGACGCGACACGCGACGCGCTTCTTCGAGTAACGGCGTAACACAATCTTCGTGGCGGGAATCCTCACGAGGGAACAGCGTGATCAAAACGACAAACAGACGAGATACCGCTCCGCCGACGCAAAATTCTCTTCACTCGATACTTAACTTTGATCAAGACGATCTCCCGGTGCGCATCCCGCCACTAATTTTCCCTCGCAACCGCCATCTTGCCGTGACTGCCGCGCCTGTGACCTGTGACGTGTGACGTCGCGTCTGCAGGTCCGCTGCTGGGTTCGCACTCCGCGCCGCCGCGCCCGCCGCCGGCGCAACATGTGTATCTACCCCTACTTGCCGATTCCATCTCGCGCCTCGTGCTCTCTCTCTCTCTCT